ATAATGATCTTTATTAGTGTGTTTAAATTATCATGTTAATTGTTAAATGTGTGTCATATATATATATATATATATATTGCATAAATTACTCAACATATACATAATTTGCGGGGTCTTTCACCATACAGTGTACAATATTCATATTAATAGTGTAAATTATGGTAACAAAAGTATGTATGCACGCCTAATGTTTAAATATTTTTATCATTGAAAATATGCCCCTTTTATGTATTAAATAAAATCTAGCTAGCATTAAATTAATACTTTTATAGAAATTTGTAATAGCTAGATGAAAAAGATAAAAATCAAATCAAATAAGAAAATATTTAACTATTATTTTTTTTATCAAATATGAAAAGGTGGAAATATTTAATAGAGGAAGAAAATATGGAAATATATTTATTGATTGATTGATTGATTTTTATTTTGTTTCCGTTTGTTGCAGCTTGCAGGGAAAATAATTCCTCCTACGATGAATGCATGGGTTGGTGATAAGGGAAGTTGGTTGAGGATCTCATATGTAAACGGTCTAACAATTGATGCGCAAGGAGGATCTATCGATGGCCAAGGTTCTTCTTGGTGGGAGAAATGCGAAAACTGTCAACGCCCAATAGTATGAAATATAAAATTCTAAACTTTGTGCTCTCACTATACATATATTTTGACACCCCATAAAATTTAAATCATTATTATTTTCATATTTACTAATTAATTATTTTGAAATTTCTACGACCACTATTCACCTATAGGCAGTGGCAATAATTTTTGTAATTATTTATATTTTTTTCTTTAAAGATAAAATTTCATGTTAAAAAAAATTTAAGTCTCATCAACTAAATATAAAATAAGAAAAAAGAATATAAGTTGAAGTCAACCTGACCTCTCCTTATAAGTAAGTTGTATAATGTTAGTTTAGACTTAAATTTACATTCTAAAATAATATTAGAGTTATTATTGATCAATTAGATGGATCACCTTTTAATATTTATGAATGCATCAACCTCAAATTATATTAGACATAAGAAGTGTATTGAGGACAACTTAAGTATTATAATTGTTATTAGGCATAAAATCATGTAGGATTAGCTTTATTTATTATGATTTACTAATATATATATAGTTTTCTAATTTGTTAGGATAATATGTTATTTTTAATAATTTACAAAAAAAAAATCTTATTAAATGACTTTATAAAGGAGAAATAAAGCTAACATTTCCAATATCAAGAAACAAAATTTTATCCTATCACTCAGAAACTAAATAATATCATAATTAGGAACAAATAAAGGTAATTATATTTTGATTATGTCTTATAATATCATCGACTAATAATAAAATAAATAAAAATTATATAAATAAAATAATTTTTACTTTATAAATTGATTTTGTAAAATTGAATTAAACATAAACTTATTTTTTGAGATTCCAATTTATTTATTTTTTAAAAATTTTATTTGATTTTACACTATTATTCTAAAGTTTTACCTTAAACTAATTCATGAATTGGGGATTAATAAAATCTTATCAAAAATTGTTTCCATTTTATTATAAATATTTACTCACATTATCTATGTATATTTTTCTTTTCCTTTCTTATCTCATCACTAGTAAATTACATTCATTACTTTTGTTTCTCTATTTTTTTGATCATTATTTTTCTCTATCCTTTAGCAATCAGCCAAAAAATGAGGCAGTGTTATTTTTCTTGGCACAATATTTTGATATCTTTCAAGATGAATCAAATTATAAATTTTTATTCTTAATACCTTGTAACTAGAATTTTCATGTTTTTATATGTAATACAGGCCTTGAGTTTCCATTCTTGTAATGGTCTTATTGTGAATTCTCTGACAATCACTAACAGTCCTGGAGCTCACATAGCTATAGATGGTTGCAACGGTGCAAGATTCACTCATATGCATGTTATTGCTCCTGAGCACAGTCCTAACACTGATGGCTTTGATATTGCTAGTTCCAAATATATATCGATAGAAGATTCTACTATAGCGACCGGTAATTTAAACTAAAAAATACACAATTTTCAATATAAATTGTACAAATTAATTACATGTGAAACTTTAATTTACCTTATTACCTTTTGAAACAGGTGATGATTGTATTGCGATCAATGGTGGTTGCTCCAACATCAATGCCACTAGGCTTTTCTGTGGACCAGGCCATGGGATAAGGTTTATATAATTTAAATATATCTTAGTTTATCTAATATTATATTTTAGTTTATTTATACAAGTATGACATCTTCGTTAATTTTATTTTAGTTTATTTTCAGCTTAATTTTGTTGTTCTTATTCGTATGAATCAATCAGCATTGGTAGTCTGGGTAGAAATGGAGGTCATGAGATCGTTGAAGAGGTTTATGTATATAACTGCAGCTTCACTGGAACTACAAATGGAGCAAGAATTAAAACAGTGCCGGTAAGTAATAATGAATAAACTATATATAAGGTTGGATTAGTAAATACAATTTTCTTTAAATATTTTCATCTTTTGAATAAATAAAAATTAAATATATTTAATTAATGTTAAATACATATGATTTTTTTGACATATTCATTATTCATGGATGTAATTTAGAATAAATAATATATATTGATATATAGTGTAAACATTTTTTATATTGTGGTAAAATCATATATCATTATGTATAAAAAAATTTATTAACTTTTATAAGGACTATTTTATAAGTTATATCCCGTAAATTCAAGTGTAAAATAACTCATAAAATTTATCTCATTTACTTTTTTCAACAACTAATTTTAACTTATTGAAATTTGATTTATTTTTATTTTATTTTTTGTAACTGTTTTATTGAGAATTTTATTCAAATACGTTACACAGATAATTTTTTGGTTAATTGAATGCATAAAATAAATCTTCTGGTTATATATATTACATGTCCATTAAACTCTAAACTTTATTTGAATCCTAGTAATTAATAAATTAATCTACACAAACAAACTGAAAATCGATACAATAAATTACAAGTCAATAAAAAACTACAAACTAGCAGTCTTGCTTGAATTTTAATTTTTATAATTAAAAAATGTGGTTCAGTTCGATCTATAAATTGAAATATGAAACCAACACAAGCTAAATGGAACCGCATTATCTCTAATAAGTAAAACCTTGCTAAGTAAGAAATAAAATTACATTATTTAGCCGTTTGTATATCAATATCTCAATCAATAATTAAGAGTTTGTTTTAATTGCATTTTATTTCTTGATTAACAATGTTTCATTTATTATCTAAGAATCAAAATAAAAAATTGTTAACTGAGGTGGTCCAATACTTTTCTTAAGCACATAGGGTTCAATTGTAAGCTTAAGCGTGCTAGATGTACTTTATTCTAATTGGAGCCAACATGAAAAGGAGTTATAATCTCATTAATAAAAAAAAAATCATTATTTAAGAATGTTGCTACGTTTTCTCTCCATGTGTGTAGAACAAAAAGAATTTTTTTTTTTGTTCACTATTTAATTGTTTGTCTAATACTGTTCAATTTTACACAGGGTGGATCAGGTTTTGCAAGAAAAATCACATTCGACCATATCATACTAAACAATGCTCAAAATCCAATAATTATAGATCAAAACTATGGGGTTAAAAGATCAAATCCAGTGGTAAAAACTTAAATGTACATGTGTATATTCATATTATTTATTGTGATTTTACCTTGTTTGATATTTATTACTGACTGCAATTATGTTTTGAATTTGGCAAAATATAGGGTACAGCAGTGATGGTGAGTGAAGTGACTTATCGTGGATTTCGTGGAACCTCTGCTAGTGACAAGGCTATAGACATAACATGTAGCACATTGGGTTGTTTTGGTATTACATTCGATGATGTTTACATTGCCTCTTCGATACCAAGAAAACCAGTCTATGCTTCTTCCAACAATGCTCATGGAACAGTTACTAATACTGTTCCAAAAGTTTCCTTCCAGAAATGAATTCAGAAACTTTTCGGACTAAAAGAGTACTTGAAATGACATGAAATATATATATATATACTAGTTAATCAACTAATTATGTACTTTTTCTTTCTTTTTCCTAAATTATAATGAAGCCACCTAGATTGCCCTGGTCTAATGATACTACCAAATTATATATGCTTTTTGTAGTAGCATTTGCATCGTAAGAAGGAAGAAGGAATTGTTTTGAATCAAAATTTAATTTAGATTTTGTCTACGTTTAATCAAAAATCGTTTGGTTTTAATCTCTCGTTAGTCATTGGGAACTACATATTTATAACTTTATGGTTTCGATTATTACCAACTTAATTATTTAATATAACCACTGTCCTTTAACACACTAAATGATTTCAAATAATTAAAATAGTAAATATTAGATCGATTTTATAACTTACATATTTTTTAAATTATTAAAATATATTGAATTTAATTAATTTTTTAAAATATTGAAATATATAATTATTTAATTTGTATAATATATATACTTAAATACTAATTAATATAATGTCTAATATATATATATACATATATATATATATATATATATATATATAGATCCTTTCTATCTCTACATATATATATATATATATGTATGTATATTCTTAATCATGATGTTATAAAGTTAATTTTGATATAATTATTTAATGGATACAATTCAGGGTATTATAGTAATACTAATATTTACTATATGCTATAAATTCCTTATCGTTTATAGATATTTTCATAGTAAATCTATTATGATAATGTTGATCACGGATTCACTCATGTATATTAAGAACTCTTTTCACCAAAGTTCTCGCTATCACCACTGTTAATTGAATAATAATAAAATTAAAAAAAAAAAAAAAAAAGACAGTTACAAAACTCATAAGAGGATAGTGAGATCCTCTCTTTTCTAATTTTGACACCGAAACTCAATATCCATTCATTAGATATATTAATTAATATTAAATTAATTAGTACCTCATAAAACATAATACACTTATTTATTGGGCTTAACCCAATAATTAAATATATATTTCTAATTAACATTAAATTAGATTAATTAATTGTAGTGATGTTCATGTGACTTCAATACTTGAACTTTGTTTATTCTACTACTTGCGATAATTGATATGTTTGTCAAAAGTCTAATACGCAATTTTCCAATTCACCTTGTGCAGAACAATCTATGGACATGAGTGTCACTCATAACATAGATGCCAAACTATTTGAATAGTGTAGAAGATAAACGCAAGTCTAACAATGTAACATGCCAAGGTTGAGAGAAAATGGTGGTGCCACCCACAAGCCTTGCAACAGCCAAGTCACTAACAATCCGACAAAGAAACAATAAGACAAAAAAGAAAGTTTAATATACCTATGAGATCATATATATATATAGCTTGTTATTCATTGGGGTTCTATAACACATATCTCCACATTCGTAAGATATTGTTTACTTTAAACCTAAGCCTTCATAGTTTTGCTTTAGGTTATCTTCCAAAAGGCCTCTTACCAATGGAGACTTTGTGTATGTTTATAAACTCATTTCCATCCTTCTGTTCTAATGATGTGGTGTAACGACCCGCCATGGTCTCTACACTTAGTGGAATCGCACTACTACTAGTGAACTAAGAGAAACATTGGACAATTCATACATATAGACATATATATATAAGAATAAAATAATTAAGTTCTATGTACCAAAAATATAACATCATATATGTACAGTCATCCAAAATAACATCACCCTAGTGCCAATCAAGCACAACCAACAGCTACCTAAGAAGGTAGCTCTAACACTAGGACAAAACTCCTCAACACGCAGCGGTCAGCTCAACTCGAAGCTAGCCCTGACCTGCTCCCATACCAAGTATGAACATCGTAGTTCCACCACATGGAAACAAAAGGGTAAGCTAGAGTTCAAAAATCAATCATACAAGTACAAAACAATAATTTATACTACACAATCATCCAACTATCAATCATGTTCATAGAGTCACACCATACACTCTATCCAATACTACTCATGCATAAAATACAATCTACCAATCATGAAGCCAAACACCACACACTTCATCATATTAACACCCCCTCAGTCATAGCTAACCAGGATATAATCCTCACTCGGGTTTACTCGGATGATGTCACTTACACAATTAGAAGTCTAGATCCATCGTCAGGTCACTACTACAAAAACACTGTTTATCATCGTCAGATTTACATCGGTTCTAGTAGAACTGATGTAAATCATAAACGCAGTGGCAAACTTGTAAATAAATAGAAAATACAAACATATTTACATCGGTTGGGAGGAGAAACGATGTAAATATGAGAAATTCTACATCAGGTTTATGATTGACCGATGTAGAAATGAGACCCTAATATTCACCCTGCGCGAAGGCACACTACCCTTTCAATGTCGTCCGCCTCCAACCACACCCAAACCCTTCCCACGCCGTCAGCCTCCAACCACACCCAAACCCTTCCGCTGGCAACCATGTTATTCGCTCACTGCCTCTGCTCTTCCGGTATTCATCTTCGCCTCCAATAGATCCGCCTCGAAGACGACAAAAACATCACCATAGCCGTGGCCCAGGGCATCGTTCCCGTGCTCGTCGCCTACTCGATTCCCCTCCGAAATGAAGGAAAAAACCATTGCCGCCATTTCTAGAGTTTCCACCGTCAAAACTGCCAAAAACATTCTCCTCGCGGAAGGCCTCCTCCTCCTCAACCACCTCCTCCAGTAGTTGAGGGTTTCAGTAGTGAAGGAAGGTGGTGTGAAGTGCTTGAAGAATTACTGGGACTCCGGTGTTCCTATTGCGAGTCTAGAAGTTGTGATGGAGATGGTGCGACATTTGGCGGAAGGGTTTGTGCAGAGGGTGGTGGGGGTGTTGAGTTGCGAGGTGCTGGCAGTTAGGGTTTCGGCGGCGAGGGCGGTTCACGCGTTGGGGATGAACAGTAACAAAGTGCGGAAGAAGATGAGGGAATTGGGATGCGTTTCGGGTTTGAACAAGATGTTGGATGGGAAGGGCATGAAGGAGAAAGAAGGTTCCACGATGGCATTGTCGGTGCTATTGATGCACCCAACGAAACAGAGGGTGTTTCGGAAGGACAAAAGAGGGGTTGTGAGCGCAGTTCATCTCTTGAAAGAGGGCTTCTGATTGTGCCTGTTCAAATGGTTCTTATTCTACTTTGTATGTAGGCCAAATTGGGTGAGAAAAACAAGTTCTATTATGATGAGAAGCTGAAGACATGGGTGGAAGAAGGTGCTGAACTTCCAGTTGAAGAAGCTGCTTTGACTATTGATTTTGGAAACAGATAGTAAGTTCAACAACAACAGCAAACCATCCTACACCATCAACGAACAAGAAGACACAGATGCATCTCAAGAAAACAATATTGCAGACTCCCCTCCTTCTTCCATTGTGCTCAACATCGATGGCTTAGTCACCTCCCCCACTTCTTCATCTAAGAGAAGGTTCGTACCTAAAATAACTATACCTTTCGTTTAAAATTGAAACTTTACTAGGAATCAATTAACAATGATATTTCTATGTATGTAACATCACCCTGAATTTACATCACTTTTTATCTCTTAGTACATATTTGAATTAAAGTTTATAAATTTAATTTACGATGAGACTCAGCTAAGAATTAGACAAAAGAGTTTGAATTTGAATGGAAAAGCAAAGACATCCTTATTATAGGTATGGTTGTTGAAAGAGCAATTGATTAATTATGTGATTGGGAGAAAATGGGAATTGGTTATGTTGAATTGAGCAGGAGGCCAATACAGAAAAGGGTAGTGCAAATCCCAATCAAGGAGACAGAAGGGTGTAGGCTAAAAGGAGAAAGCAACACCCCACCCTCGGATTCATGGGCATGGAGAAAGTATGGGCAGAAACCCATCAAAGGTTCCCCTTATCCCTTGTTAATTGAATTCCATTCCAACAACATGCTATTCATGTTTGGGCTTTTTAAGGTTTGTTGCAATTGTAAGACCTTGTTTTGTGAAGATAATAATTGAGGAGAAGAAAGATAAGTAGTGTAAGTGTATGTTGGAATTGGATAGTGAAATGGGTGTTGTTATTATGACTTGAATAATTCCCTTATTAATGTTGTTGTGGGTTTCAGGTGTGACTTTGGAGGATCCCCACACTGAAGATCTTAGCCAAGAAGTCAGAGGATTCATATTCTCTAAAATTCTGGTTTGTACAGCCTCACCTATTATTTGTTTTAGGCATGTTGAAGTATGCATGGGGTTTGTTTATTCCTGTTAATTTGGTTTGCAAAATTGAAGAATTCATCGACTATTTATTCCCAGAGGAAACCCAGACAACAAATCTCAAGATCTTGGAAGCTTCTTACAAATGGAAAAGGAAAAAAATTGTCTTCTGATGATGATTAACAATATCTTGTAGCTGCTATACCTTTAGCATGTGTATATATCGGCAAGGTTTTATTGTTGTATAACCGGAAAAAATAGTAGCTTCTACAACCATGTCAATCACGGGCTTTTATAGTTTATGACAGACACATTTGAGGAACATTTGTCATGCAACCGAGATGGCCAAAATTTTTATTGGGAGAATGTTGGAAAACATATTTAAAACAAAAATGATAATTGAAACTCTTAAATTAACTATTTTTTTTTTGTTAGTAACAAAAAAAAAATAATGAAGTTATTTGTTTTAAAATGTACAGTAAGCCATAGTGCTTATCTAATTTGTTAGGGTAGTGATTCTTCTGTCATGCTGTCGAGTGAGATGGATCAAGCATGGAATGGTATCCCATACTTTTAGCATGCTGTCAGGGTAGTGATTCTTTTGAGCTTGCAATTTCCCAACCAGCATTGGACATGCCTGAACTGTTGTGGAAGGTACACACATTTATTTCTTGTGCAAGAAACATGCCTGGACAAACTTAAACTGCTTGATTCATTCTTGATGCAGCACAGGAATTTACTTAATTTGTGGGTTTTAATGGAAAGGGAAATTATGGAAATAGGTTGGGTAGATTTTTTCTTAAATATAAAGATCAATTTATGGAGCCTTATCCTAAAACCAATGGAAAAATAGGTGATGAAGGAAAAAAAATTGATTTTACAAAACTACAAGTGATTAGAATGATCGACGTAAATTTACGTCAGTTGTGATAGACGACGTAAATTTATGTCTCCCGCATTAACGTCGGACCCTTTTTGACGTAAAAACCTCAAATAACCGACATAAATTACCCCTTTTATACTAGTATAATGATAATCAAAAGCACAAACTATTAAACCCATACTTATAACTCCAAGCACCAACTACAACAAATTTCGATGTTGTGAAAATTTTTAAGTTGGTTGTTAATTTGTGTATTGTAGGTTGTTGATTTAGCTTGCATCTCTTTTTCTTCTTTCAAATTTTCAAACCATTTCTTGGTAGTTTTAAATTTTTAAAAGTCTGTAGCTTAGAAATATATTGAAGGGACAACAATTTATCATGTGATTTCTATGTCAAACTAGTAGTAAACATGCAAATTATGTAGTTGCCACATCATCAATTAACAAGGATACTTGTTAAAGGATTAGGTTAAGTGGTTGGGACATGGCAAACAATAATTAAAGGACTAAAACATTAAAAAATTGTTGAGAAACTAAAAGAGAATTCATCAAAAATAAAATTGTTGAGAGACTAAAAGAGAAATTCATGAAAAGATAAGTGACTAAGACAAGTCAACAAAGTTGTTGAGTAAAAATAAACATGATTGTCATATTATATTAGTTGAAGACATGGTTGTCATGGCATCACTCAATGGAGGTATACTTGATTGTAAAAATGTTAACAAAGGTAAATTTTAGGGACTAAGACCTTTAAAAATTAAAAAGTAAAATTTCAAAAAAAAAAAATAGGGGTTTAAACATATTTAATCCTTATCTAATTTAAATAAATTTTTTAATAAAAAAATCTAACTAATTGTTTTGGTTTCTAGATGTATAGAAATGTTCAATTTATTCTTGTGATAAACTGTTCCATTGGTTAATGTAGTAATTAGACACTATACACCTACATGTTGTGGAGATGATTTCGAAGAATCTCATGTTCAATTCTTTCCGTATATGAAAATCATATTAGTCAATGATAGTTATAATATTGAGGATGAGATTAGTCTTTGACCCAATAAACTAAGAGATATCCATAGTAATTAAGAATAAAGAATTGAAAATATGTTCACACATTTAAGTTAATTATGTTTTTATTGATACAACATAATAGGATTCATTAATTTATTTAATTTCCAATGGTAAATTATAATTTAGAATTTTGATTGAAATTTTGTGTAAACATCAAATATATAAATTCTTTATGCTCTAATTAGTCATTTATTTGTTTTCATATGAATAAAGTTTTACTATTAGGATAATTTAGTAATGAGAAATTGAGATAAATACATGAAAATTTAGATGTGATTAATTGTCAATATTTCATAGTGATGAAAAATAAATGAAGTTTTTCTTTTTTAGAAAACCATTCGAATAAAGTGTTGGATCCTATATACTCCTATCATTTTCATTAGACGAAATTATAAATACCCTTATTTTATAAACACATTATACTATAGTATACTATATATTATATACAACATAAAAGACAACAGAAATAAAGTTGTACTGTCCGCATTGTATTACAATACATGATCGATCTTCATCGCATTATAATATTGTATACAAAACGTCAACATAAATATAAGTATATATACTAAAATTTAAGTTTTAGGTTCAATAGAAAAAAATATTTATTGTTAATTTTTTATAAATAAAAGGTTTGTATGTTAACGAAAATGTCTTATATGCAAAAAAAAAAAGAAAAAAAAACTTTATATGTCTTTCTTATATAATAAATAATAACTTGTCTTTAAATTTTGTTTTTTTATCTCATTTATAGACCCACCATGTTGCTTTGCTTCTTTGATGTAACTTATTATGGCATACAGCTTGTGTTTTTCTAACTTATTAGCCCAACAACCTTCCCGCATTCTAGAAAATAGATATCAAGTGGCTGTACATTGAAAAAAACAAAAAAAAAGCATGGATGTCTTATCCGGTGATTGCATCACTATGAGTATGTTTAGGAGAGTTTTTGAGTTTTTTTTTTTAAAATAATTTTTTTTTATTTTTAATAAAAAAATTTAAAAATATTTTTAAACTTGTATTTAAGTAGATGTAGATTGATACAGTTAAAGGCTTACTCTATTTTGTAATAAATATGGTGCAAGAAGATATTTTATATAAAATAAGTATCTTTTTTAATGTAATATGAATTATTTTTTCATTAATGTAATAGTTTTCCTTTTCTTGATAAACAAATAGGACATTTTCTATGAAGTTTTATACCAAATAGAGGAAATTTGGGTAATGGTAATCATACCCAAGAAGCCTTAAATTTTATCCACAATTATAAATCCAAGTCTAGGATGTTGACTTTGAAAATTGATCTAGAAAAGGCATATAACAGAGTTAACTGAAAAATTACTTTTAGGCATCTATAAAAATATTTGTTTCCCAGGACAAATCATTAAACCAATAATATGGCTTTAAAAAGATTAGTGTTCCATAGAAAATCATCATACTAATAGTGTGGGGCGTTCACAATCTTTGTTATCTATTTTGTGGAATGGTAACGAGTTGGATCTTTTCTTCCTTCTTGAGGTCTCAGACAATGAGATCATTTTTCCTCATACCTATTTGTTTTATGTATAGAATGTCTAGCTCTTAGGATCTGTGAACTAAATAAGGGAAGAAATGCACAATCTAACACGCTCTCTAAAGTTGGGACTCTTATTTCCCATCTTTCTTTTGTTGATAATGTTCTCACTTTTTTTCACGTAACAGAGGATTAGGTTCATGTGGTTTCTTTCTATCTTGGAGGAGTTCTATTATGCATCTAGTTTAAAGAATTTGAAAAAATCTAAATTTGTTATTTCAAGACTAGTTCCTTAGGTTGGAAAGGAACATTTGGAGGGAATATGGGGTATATAAAACACATACTAAGTTAACAAATGTAATAACCCACAGTCTATAGTGTCAGGAGGAAATACTATCATGTATTTCCCTTACCATACAAAATGTATAAAATAATACATCATAATTAAATAGTTATATATATACATACTAGGAAATAACAACTAATATCCCATATACATATATATGACATGTAATGTAATGTAATATTCCGATCTGTTGAGGAAATTCCTTTGAAAGAAGTCGAGCAAAAAGACATAATAGATTTTGTTGAAGATCACATCATAACAAGATTTAGAATTCCTCAAACAATTACTACATTGATCGAACAAAGCACTTGAAGGTATGGATAAGCTATGCAGAATTTAAGGCAACGACTATGGATATGGACAGTGCAAACTTAGACGAAGATGAACAAAAGAAGCAATGTATTCAGCATGCTAGAAGTTTGGGATCCCAGTGCAACACACAAGCTGTTAATTTTAATTGTTTGTTTTCAGTTTGAACATTAGTCAGCCATTTTTTTCTGTTGCTTTTGAAATATTTCTTCTGGATTCAATCTTCTGGGTTCTAAAATAAGCATGATTTTTTAAAAAAAAAATGCAATCTACATCGGTTCTCAAGAAAACCGATGTAGATTTAAGCATAAATCTACATTGGTTGTCCAGAGAACCAATGTAGATTTATGCTTAAATCTACATCAGTTTTAGAATCGATGTAAAAATGTATACATTTTCTATGTCGCTTTATTCTACATCAGTTTTAGAACCGATGTAGATGACTTTAGAGAACTGATGTAGAATATGCATCTTGTAGTAGTGGGTATAGCACAGCTGGGTACAGACTTACCACGACCTTGGCATGCATTACCAAGTCAATTGTGGAGTTCACCCACCAACTATCCGCAAGGATCCACGCACCTTCCCGAGTACTTGGTTAAAGGAATAACCCTCGACCTCATACCCCGCTCCAACACTAGTTAAGGACTTAGAGGAGACTCACCTAAAATAGTGGCCTACCTGACCACCACTCTCACCCAAAACTAGTGGCTTATCTGAGCACCACTCTCATAATCAATGGCCTATCCAAGCACCACTCTCAAGAGACTCTATGTGAGCTCTTCCAGTTCAAAAATATTTCCCCCTCCTCAAGTCCTAGGCTAGAAACATGCCATAAGGCATCACATGCAATAATGCATCATACATCATACATGGTCTACCCACCATCATGATCAACAATCACACTCATGCCATAAAGCATCACATGCAATAATGCATCATACATCATACATGGTCTACCCACCATTATGATCAATAATCATACTCATATGAACATATACTCATGCCATATCATATTTAAACATTCATATATATCATTACCGAGCATACATATGAATCACACCTCACCATACATCATATATCATACATACATGATCTAAAACTTCAACTTTAAACCTGCATAATCATCAATTTCAATCCAAAAACATCAAACCCACTCATGCCCGGTGCAACCAAATCATGCCCGACCTAACATCCAACCCGAGAGCCCTAAGCTCTTCCACGCCCAGTGTGCTTAACCTGGGCCTGGCCTAATCTCAGTCAGAGAGTTCAAAAACTCTCATCCAAACCGGCTTCTAGTGAAAACCATAAGAATGGCCGATAAGAGCTGGTCTTGATCGGTCCCATGGTGGGCGCCAAATGTTCTTACCAGAATTTGGTCGTA